CGAAGGCAGACGCTTAACCGAATGAGCCATCCAGGCGACCCGAGAGGTAGGCTTTTTTAAGGAGAAAAGGGGTAAATTGGGAAGGCTGTGATAAACTAAAAGTCCACTGGAGTAAACTGGGGGTTCCGAGTATGATGCCTGAGCTGTTGTGGGGTGGGGGAATAAGGAGAGTATCTCTTCCTCTGGCTGGAGTACTAGAGTGGTATCCATGTGCAAGTTCAAGTCCATGTATGGTCAAGTCCGGCTGTTTCTGTTAGGTTTGCAATTGACGGAGAGTCGAAGGGGCTGAGAGGTCCCTCTGCCAAAGCCTCCGGACTCCGTTTTAGTGAGGCTTCCCATTACTCATTTTCACAAAAGGGGCAAATATGGGCTTGCTGAGAACAGGTTTCATGGGGGAGAAGGGGAGCGGGGCCACATTTGAGATGTTGGCGGGAGGAAAATGTGGAGGGTGGGGGTGAGACATGTCAATGATCTCAAGCAAAAGAACCCTCTGCAGGTGGCAGGAAGAGCCCCTAGGAGAGGAGCCCACAGCAAGGAGGAAGGGCACGGGGGGGGGGGGACACAGTAGCATCTTCCATACCACCTGGTTCCATCATCCTGTCTCCCGTGGCCCCCTGGCGGGGGGGAGAGAAGTCAGAGGACAGATAATGATGAAGGGGAGAGAAATCCCAATGACAGCAGCATCCCTACTCTGTAGCGTCCTATGGATTATTACCACATGGTATGCCTTCCCCCAAACCTGGCCCTTGCTCCTCAGGGCTACATACTCTAAAGAGGAGGCAACTGGGGGTTAGTAATGTCTGAAATGATGGGGACACAGGCAAGGAATAACAACAGCTCTCTTCCCCGCTGGCTTGCAGGGCCCCAAGCCTCCTATCATCCAGCTGGCCCTCCACCAACCTCGAAGAGGACTCTATTCCCCACCATGTCCGAGGCTCTCTCCGGACACAGAGATACCTTGTGACTGGGGCATGAGCGAGGGACATGCCATCACAGCCAGCACCCAGCCCAGGAAACACTCTCCTTTTCAACCTAGCCTGAGATTCCCCACTCCCAGACAGGCACCCCGAAGCCAAGGGACACCAGCAAGGGGCAATCCCACCGCAACAGAGAGCCTGCCCAGCAACCCTCTCCTTCACCGCTGGGCCCGAAAATGCCCACCCCGAGACGCTCTGCTGCCGGGAGGCACCAGCACAGAGAATCGGGCCCCAACAAGGGCTTGGCCCACAATGCTCCCCACCTTCCACTGGCAGAGGGCATCCTGCCTCCCAAAGCTCCCAACACTGGAAACATTGCTTTTTCTGAAGGCAGGGGGACCCCTTCCCCCACCGAGAATCATGAGGGAGGCTGGCCTGGATGGGTTTCTTCTATTTCCTCAAGCAAGATCCACAGGCACACGTGGAAGTCCCAGCAGCAGCATAAACCAAGCATACCAAAATTGCACCACATAGGGGCGCCTGGCTGGCTCAGTCAGCGAAGCATGCAACTCTTCATCCCTGGGTCATGAGTTCGAGCCCCACACCGGGTGAAGAGATTACTTAAAAAAAAAGAAAAGCACCACAGAGGCTCTGAAAATCATCTCGTCCTTACAACCACAGCCCTCAAGAGTAGCCCAGGACCTGCAGGCCAAACCACACAGGAGGACTGCTTGCTAAAATACAAAGTTTGAATAGAACCAATGGCTCCTAACATAATACCCAAAATGTCCAGGACACAATGGAAAATCATCCTTCATACAAAGAACCAGGAAATTCTCAACCTGAATGAGAAAGGACAATCAAGTGCCTCTAACTCCCAAATTAATTAGATGTCAGAATTATCGGATAAAGCATCGATCATAAAAATAGCAATTACATGTTCATACCACCTTCTTTGTAATAGCCAATGGCTAGGAACAACCCAGATGTCCTTCACTGGGGGACTGTTTCAGCAAAGCGCAGTCTATCTATACAAACATAAAAAGAAACAAATATTGTTACACAGAATGACTTGCAAAAGTCTCCAGGGAATTACGCTGAGAGGGGGGTGGGAGGAGCCATTCTCAAAAGGTTACAGATGATAGGATTCCAATTATAAAACATTCTTGAAATGACAGAACTATATGAAGGGAGAGCAGACCGGGGCACCCGGGTGACTCAGTCGGTTGAGTGCCCAACTCTTGATAGGAGCTCAGGTCTTGATCTTAGGGTCGTGGTGTCAGGCCCTGCGCTGGGCTCCTGGGCATGGAGCCTACTTTAAAAAAAAAAAAAAAAGGGAAACAGATACGTGGTTGCCAGGCGCCAGAGATCAGGGACTGGATAAAAGAGCTGGATGGGCAGGAGGAGGCGGGTTGGGTTTGAGTCTGTAAAAGAGCGACCGGGGGGGGGGGATTCTTGCAGGGATGAACTGTTCTCCAGCCAGACTGTATTCATGTCAATATCCTGGATTGTAGTATCGTTTGTGCAAGATGTTACCAATGGTGAAACTACCTAAAGGGTAAAGGATACCCGTCCATTTTTCCAATTGCATGTCCATCTATAATAATGTCAAAATTAAAAGTTTAATTCAAAAGAGGCACACTACTAAGAAATTCATCCTCCTCCAGAAAAATCCAAACCACTATTTCTGAGGTCCTTCCAGAAACTGACTTCAGAAACTCCCTCTTGTTCGCAGCTATGTTCTCCGGGCTGGTGTCAGGGAGGCCATTCCGACGCCCTCCTCCCCTCCCACCCGCCCATTCTGTTCCTCACCTGCATCCTTTACTGCTTGTGGGTTCTTCTGGAGCTGAGGCTTCGTGGCTAATGCAGCGGGGGCTTCCCTGAGTGTCACCGGGCTCCAGCTTGAAGCTCAGCGACTTGCATGCTGTTCCCTGAAGCAAAGGCTGCTTTAAAGGCATTTTGGTTCTCAGCCCATTGTTTGTGACCTGAAATCAGCGGGCCATCACTCACCATCATAAAAGGGCCCAACAAGGCAAGGGAAATTACTACAAGGATCTGAAGGCAGAGTCCACAGAAGAGCATGGTCAGTCACTCTGGACACCACAAGAGAAAAAGAATGGCTTAAACTACAGGGGTCTGAGCGAAAATGTGAGTATGTGACCGTCTGTGGGGGGCGCGGGGGTCCCCCTTCCCACTGCACACCTTTCCCGCACAGATCTCCTGAAGTTCTGCCCTCCCTCTTTCCCTGCCCCCCTTTGCCGGTCGCCCCCATGCCTCACCGCTAGGTGGGCTAGCCTGGGGGGCCCGGGGAGCCTGACCTCAGAGCCTCGGGGCCAGACAGTTCCTCGGGCCGCACCCTTAACGGAGACCCAGCTGCGCGCACGAGGCCGGGCCGCTGACCCAGACAGAGGCACAGCGAAGCGCCCGTTGCTTTAGAGACGGTGTCCGTCTGTCGCGCAGGCTGCAGGCACAGGCTCTGCACGGGCACGAGCCCACGGCCGGGCCCCACGCCAGTCTGGACCCGCTCCGCTTCCGACCCGGGCGGCCTCCCGCTTCTGGGAGCTTCGCCAGGGGACGGCGAACTTGCGAACGCAGCCCGCGCCGCGACCAGCACGGCGCACGGCGGCCCCGCCACCCTCCCGCCTCAGCCTCGCGAGTCGCGGGCACTCCGGGCGCGGCCACCACGCAGGCCAGCCGAGTCTGAAGCAGCGGCCCCGACGCCCGGCAGGGTCGCCACACGTACACGCTGCTGCCCCCTCGCACTCCAGGCCGCCCGGGAGCCTCTGCGCCGCGGCGACGGGAGGCCCACGGGCGGCCAGGAAGCGGCCCCAAGTCCCGCCGGGAGCGGCAGCGGGCGGAGCCGGGAGCGGAACCCGCGGCTCCAGGGCGCGCGCACGCGGCCGCCGGCCGCCGCCACAGCGCCCCCCGGTGGGGACAGGCGCCCCTGCCGCTCGCTCTGCGCCCGCGGAAAACCCGGACGCTCCAAGTTCCAGACCAAGGTACAGAAGGGCACTGGCCAAGTCAGGTCGGCTCAGGGCGATGCCGAAAACCCGAACGGGGACCGGAGCCCGCGCTGCCTCCGTGTTCCGGCCCAAGCCAGACCAGATAAAAGCCCGCTCTCGCCGTCTCTCTGGCCTGCGCCCTCACCCCGCACGCTGTCCGCGCAGACGCCGCAAGAGGCACGGCTTCTTCGCAGCTCTGCGCCAGCCGCCTCTGCACCGGGCTGTGGGTCCCCTGGCACGGGCGGGCCGGGAACCGCTCGGACACCAACAGCCCTAGGACCCGCTCCAGGGTGCGCATCTCAGGCCGAAGCCACCGAGCGCTGGCAAAGCTCCGGGCGCCGCCCGACGCTTCCCCGGGGCCCAGCGGCCAAAGCCCCAAGAGCAGGCGGGAGGCCACCAGGCTGCGCCCCGGAGGTGGGGAGGCGGGCCAGCGCCTGGCGACAGGCGCACTAACTCCTGGGGTGTCTCGTCCGGAGCCTTTTCGCTCCTGGGAGCCTGGGCCGGACGCCAGGGTCGCGTTCCTAGATCTCTCGACCCCGAAACCAGCTGGGGCGGCCGTCGCAGGCGCCCCGGGCAACCCCAAACAGCGGGATCGGCGTGCCCCGGGCTCCGGGTCCCCGCGCAGCAGCCCAACCCCAGCCCGGGGGCGCTGTCTCCAGGGCCGTGGCCTCTGCGCGTTCGGGGCGGTGGGGCGCCTGCCCCTCGACCCGCTGCGCCCGGGGTTGGGAGGCACAGTCGCAGGCGGCTCTCTCCTCTCTGTCCTGCTCCCACCAGGGAAGTCCCAGCACTAAAGCCTGGTGTCCCAACACCAACGGCACCAGCTGGGGACCAGTGTGAGGACGACGTCTCCCCAGGGACAGCATCGTCTCTGGCCTGGCGCCAACGCACCCGGGAGGGGAAACGTGACCCCAGCGGCGGGGCCACTTGGAAGACAAGAGGCGGGCCGCGGGGGGAACCCAAACACCCGCGGGCCCTCTGCTGGTGGCCGAGGGCGGAGAGGAGCGCACGGGGTGGCGCGAGGCCGAAGCTCGGGTCTTCAAGAAGGAAACTAGAAAGGTAGCTCAAGGCCAGTGTGACCCGCGAGAACAATACCAGAGTCATAAGGCCAGGAAAGCTTTTTTTTAATATTTTATTTATTTGACAGAGAGACACAGCGAGAGAAGGAATACAAGCAGGGGGAGTGGGAGAGGGAGAAGCAGGCTTCCCGCGGAGCAGGGGGCCCGATGTGGGGCTCGATCCCAGGCCTCCAGGATAATGACCTTAGCCGAAGGCAGACGCTTAAGGACTGAGCCACTCAGGCGCCCCGCCCAGGAAAGCTTATTAAAATGCGAGTTCTCAGGCCGCCTGGGTGGCTCAGTCGGTTCAGCGTCTGCCTTGGGCTGGGGTCGTGGTCCCGACGTCCCGGGATTGAGTCCCGAGAGGGGCTCCCTGCTCGGTAGGGAGTCTGCTTCTCCCTCTCTCTCTGCCCGTCCCTTGTGTTCTCTCTCAAATAAATAAAATGCCAATTCTCGGGGGGTGGGGGGGGGCTGCTTGGCTCGGGTCATAATCCCAGGGTCCTGGGTTGGAGCCCCGTGGGGCTACCCTGGTCAGTGAGAGTCTGCTTCTCCCTCTCCTTCTGCCCTTCCCGCCCAAGGCCCACCCCTCCCCACCCCCGCTTGTGCTCGTGCTTTCCCGCTCTTATAAATGAAATCTTAAAAAAAAAAAAATGTGAATTCTCCAGCTCATGCGAGATGCGGTGCGTCAGGGTTATCGGGGAGGGGCCCCCAAATCTGAAGTTTTACCAGGGCCTCCCAAGAAATTCTTCCTGCACTGAGAGGCTGGAGAATCGGTGACCCAGGAATAAAAGAGTTAAAGGAGGCCCCCAGCACTCGGGTTACTCTGGGGCGGATGGAAGAGAAGCCCTTGCTGGGATCAGGAACCGGGGACGTCCCACCCAAGCCCCTGGGCTCTGGAAGCGCTGAAGACCGGAAACGGGAACGCTTCCAAGGCTGCAGGAGGCCCCTAGGAGGCCAAGGAAGCGGCGGTCCCTCCCACGTCAGCATGCTCTCGGGCCCAGACGGCGGGGCGCGTGCGTCGGAGCCTGCCGGGAAATGTAGTCCTCAGGGCGGCCGCGCGCCTGCGTCCTGCGCAGCTGCCCCGGGGAGCCTGGGAAAGCCGTGGGCGCCGAGGCGGTGAGTCCCGGAGCGGCCAGAGGGCGTGGCCGTCCCTGGGGCGCGGACGCGGGCGGCGGGGCTCCCATCGCGCTAGGGCTACGCCAACCGGCTGCCGCCAGCCCTGATCCGGCGGCGAGCGCGTGGACGAGCGCCGGGCGGCGGGCCCCTGTCCGGCCGGGTCCCCACTGCCGCTCCCTGCGCCCCGGCCGGGCCTTCCCGGGGTTGTCCGGGGCCCGGAGCGCCCGTCGGGGCGCCGGGACATCCCGTAGGGAGCGCGCAGGGGCCGTGCCCGCGCCCCGGGCGGCCGATTTGTAACCGGCTTTTAGAAGTTCCCGCGACGTGTCCCTCCTCGCCTTTCCCCGAGTGCCCGCTTTGCACACACCCTCTTTATCCGGGGGCCGTGGGAGCGCGGGCTCGCTCGGGCCGATCTGGGGAGAAGCCGTGAGTCCTGGGATGCAGTGATATTTCCCTGCGGAAGGGCGGGTGGAGGGACGGCGGGACAATCAGGGCCCTGCTGGACGTGGTGGAGGGTTGGGGCCCATCTGGGGAGGGCGGCCAACTGCGAGGCTGAGCATGGTCAGGGCGGTTCCACAGCCTAAGCCGGCTGGGTTCCTGGATGCCATCCAGGGAGGGGGGTTCGATGCCTGGGGTGGGGTTGGGGGGGGGGGACGTGGAAGCTTTCTAGGATCGAGTGGTGGGGAGCAGTAACCTTGCTTGAGCGCTTCCTCTGTGCCAGGCCAGGCACAGCCCTTGGCTTCCACGCGGTTGGATCCACCACAGGAAATTTTATGGAATCGATGCTATGATTATTTTCATGTTACAGACAGAAGCACTGGGTGTCAGGGTCACAAAGCGAGCAGGTTATCGCACGTGGATGGGTCTGCTGCTGAAGTTCAGGTTACCATCAAGATAAAGGATGATAAGGTCACAATGTACATTTGGGATGACTAGGTAGGAAGATTATGAGTATTTTTTAACTTGTGCCACTGCAGGGAAGAGGACAGGTTCATGAGGTATCTGGGCAAATACAGAGAGAGGATCTGTAGCATAAGGTGGGTAATGATATTGAGACCTGCGTGTGACCAGGTCTGTGACCTCAGACATTGCACTAAGAACATTTGGATGATTTGAGACATGAGCGTTGCAGAGATCTGTTCATTCCAACCTTCTCACCATTTCCCTCTGGCATTTACTGTGTGACCTGGGACAAGTCATTCAGTGCCCCTGAGCCTCCAACCTCGGTCCCCTCCTCTGTACTCAGGGCATCATACTAGTCCCCACGTCCTCGCTCTGGGTGAGGGCTACGTGACCTGCCATATGCGGGAGACTTCGAACAGCACGTGGACACAGTGCCATGCACGTGATCAGTGTCCTTGGTTACTCATGCGGACCAGGTAGCTGGTAGCCCGCCCTGAGGCAGTGTATCGTTCTCATGAGAAAGCCACTTGACATGCCATCGCAGGACGAGGGTCAGGCTGGTGTCGGCTGAAGTACACAGCCCTTGAGTGGAGAAGAATGGAGGGTTGTGGATCTGTAGCCTTTGGAGGCAAGGCTCTAGCTAAGATGCCGGTGATTGAAGGTGACCATGGGTTACTGAAAGGCACATGGACTTTCAGTGTTGTTTATCAGTGCCTGTGTATATTCAGAGACACAAGACAGCTTGTATTAAACTGGGAATGGGGTTACAGGCCAGCACATCTGTGGTGGTTTATTTACGGGAAGAGGTTCTTAGCCTTGGATCAATGGAATTCTAGAGCCGAGCTGTGCAGTAGAACTTTCTACAATGACATCCTATCTATGGAGCACTTGAAATGTGGCGAATTTGAATGAGAAACTGAATGCAACTTCAATGAATTTATTTTTTTTAAAAGATTTTATTTATTTATTTGACAGAGAGACCGCGAGAGAGGGAACACAAGCAGGGGGAGTGGGAGAGGGAGAAGCAGGCTTCCTGCGGAGCGGGGAGCCTGACGCAGGGCTCGGTCCCAGGACCCTGGGATCATGACCTGAGCCGAAGGCAGATGCTTAACGACTGAGCCACCCAGGCGCCCCTCAATGAATTTAAACTGAAACGGGGTCCGTGTCTGCTCTAGAACATTTTGTAAATTTTTGGAAAATGGATGCAGAATTAGATGTGTTTGCGAGTTTTTCTAGGAAGTGATTCCATGGCCTTCATTAGAGTCTCAAAATCACCAAAGAAGATTTAAGTTTGCTGCTCTAGGGCTTGGTGGAATGTAAGCAAGTTAAGGGAAGTGAGTATGGCCTGGGGTAACCACTGCTGTTTCCTTTCTTGTTTTGTCCTGTCCTCAGCTGTGGGTGGCTCCCCCTTGACGCCTCCACAGAGAAACAGACTGGAATCTGAGACTTCAGGCCCCAGAGAAAGTGTACAGGACCAGAACGGGGCGATGGCGGTGGCCCTGGGCTGCGCGATCCAGGCCTCGTTGAATCAGGGCTCCGTGTTTCAAGACTATGATGCCGACTGTGAAGTCTTCCGTCAGCGCTTCAGGCAGTTCCAGTACAAAGAAGCGGCCGGGCCTCATGAAGCTTTCAACAAACTCTGGGAGCTTTGCTGTCAGTGGCTGAAGCCAAAGCTGCGTTCCAAGGAACAAATCCTGGAGCTGCTGGTGTTGGAACAGTTCCTCACTATTCTGCCCGCGGAGATAGAGACCTGGGTGAGAGAACATTGCCCAGAGAATAGAGAAAGAGTTGTGTCACTGATTGAAGACTTACAGAGAGAACTGGACATACCAGAGCAGCAGGTGAGAAAAGAGTTTGGGATCTTGGTAATTAGACAAAAAGAAGTGGCAGAGACATCTTATACTAGATCAGACGTTTCGTTTTGAGCTCCATGCTTTCCCTAAAGTGATTTTCATTTTTCCCTTTTGCTGGAATTAGCACATATGGCCCAGCAATTCTCAGCTATTAAACACAACTCCTGTTCTGTACCAGATATTTCGTACTGCCTCCTCTACTATCCTGAAATGAAATTGATGTATAATGTAACCTGCTTACATACGCAAAATCAAAAACATTGCTCTAAGAAGTGCTCTGTGGTCCAAGGGCCAAATGGAGCTCATGGCCTGTTTTCTGCAGCCCTTGAGCTAATAATGGTTATTACCTTTTTATTTTTTTTAAAGATTTTGTGTATTTATTTGTCAGAGAGAGAGAGAGAGAGAGAGAGAGCACAAGCACAGGGAGTGGCAGGCAGAGGGAGAAGCAGGCTCCCCACTGATTAAGGAGCCTGATGTAGGGCTCGATCCCAGGACCCTGGGATCATGACCTGAGCCGAAGGCAGACACTTAACCGACTTGAGCCACCCAGGTGCCCCCAGGCATCCCTGGTTATTACCTTTTTAAAGGGTTGTTAATACAAGAACTGTAGGCAGTAGACCAACATGCCCCACAAAGTGTAAATTATTTACTATCTGACTCTCTCTAAGAAAATGTTGCCAACCCGAGTCGAGGGGAGCCAGGGAAGGATATAAAGGAAAGGGAATGTGGTTTGTCATCACGGAGTGGCATGTGAACACACACGTTGGCACTCGACTGCACCGGAAGACCTCACGAGGTTGTCACGTGCTCGCGCCTGTGCAGAGACTCACCGTGAAGGCGACAGCCCCCGGCCCGGCTGCTCTGTGATTTTCCAAAGTGGCCACACGTGTCAGTAAATCTGCGCGGTGAGCAATAGAGTGGTTGCTTGATTTCCAAAGGCGGGCTTTCCTAGAAGTCTCAAGTCGTGCTAAGTCATGCAGAAATACCTTGTGTGTGCACGAGCCCCAGGGTGAGGTTGACAGGTTCTTTCTCCCTAGATGCCGGTTTGCGGGGCCACCCCAGAGTTGGTGGGGACCGGGAGCAGTTCCGCACCGGGAATGAGACCGACTCCTGGCTGCGCCCGCCGGGTTCTGACAGCCGCCTGCCATCGTGCCGCCTCCGCCTTGGCTGGCGGCGCCAGGGCCCCCTGCTCAGAAGCCCCCGGCACAGGGCAGAACCTTGGGCAGAAGGGAGAAGGGGCTTCGGCACTGTGTGTGGATAGGGCTCTGCCGGTAGCCGGCCCGAAGCAGGGTCTTCCAGAGTTTCCTGCCGCCTCCCCCGCACCCCCCAGGATAGAGGGAATTTATGGTGCGCCCTTCCTTTCTCTGTCTCCTGGGTTGGGCTTGCTCTGGAGGATTTTATCTGCCCGTGGCCTAATCGTGGCGCTGCCCAGTGGGGTAGCCGCCGGCCCAGCGTGGCTCTTGAGCTCTGGAAATGTGGCTCGTCCCACCTGAGATGTGTTCCAAGTGTAAGATGCTCACCGCATTCAGAAGCCTGAGCACGAAAGGTAAAGCAGGTGAGATGTCTCGTGAATACTGTTCGCGGTGGTTACATTCTGAAAGTGTGGTATCTCAGCCGTGCTGGGTGGAATCATGCGTGTGGTCAGGACTGACTTCAGCAATGTCTTCTTTCCTTCAATGAAAACGATGTGGGTGGCTCCCGCCCATTGCTGGCACCGGGCAGTGCCGGGGTGGCCTGGAGAGTGACGGGTTGTGCCGTTTCCCCCAGATCGATAGGCAGGAAATGCTGTTGGAGGAGCTGGTACCCGTGGGACCCGCGCACGTACCGCCGAACGTCCACCTGGAGTCGCCCCCACTGCAAGTGATGGGACCCGCCCCGGACGCCCCCGTGGCGGAGGCCTGGATGCCCCAGGCGGGGCTGCCGGAGCTGGGCTTCGGTGCTGCCGAGGACTGCCGGCCCTTCCTGGACCCTGGTAAGGCAAGGGGTTGACTTCCTTTCCGCGGTTCGTAGTTTGAGAGCCGGAGAGCTCCCCAGCTTTGGGGGTGGGTTGGAAACACCGAGTCCTGGGGGGAAGCGGACCACGGGTGGGAGGAGGGATCCCTCCCTCGGTGGAAGCGGCCCACGGCGATAAAGGGTGGGAGGAGGGATCCCTCTCTGGGAACAAAGCGCGGGACATCACGTGGGATTCAAAACCCTTTCAGCTCATGACCCCGCTCAAAAAGCCTATTTTTCTCTTTTCAATTTTTTTTTTTAAAGATTTTATTTATTTATTTGACAGAGAGAGAATGGGAGAGCACATGAGAGGGGGGAGGGTCAGAGGGAGAAGCAGACTCCCTGCCGAGCAGGGAGCCCGATGTGGGACTCGATCCAGGGACTCCAGGATCATGACCTGTGCCGAAGGCAGTCGCCCAACCAACTGAGCCACCCAGGCGCCCCTCTCTTTTCAATTTTTTTGTTGTAAAACACACATAAGATTTAGTGTCGTAATCATTTTACGTGTATAGTTCAGTGGTATTGAATACATTCGTAATGTGAAACCATCCCTACCATCCATTTCCATAACTATTTTCATCCTGTAAAACTGAAACCCCATACTCATTTAAACAATAACTTCGCATCTCCCCAGACCCTGGAGACTACCATTCAACTTTCTGTCTCTCTGAATTGGACTCCTCTATGTACCTCATATAAACGGAATGATACAGTATCTGTCGTTTTGTGACTGGCTTATTTCACTTAGCAGAATGACCTTAAGGTTTATCCAGGTTGTAGTGAGGGTCAGTGTTTCCATCCAAGTAAAGGCCAAATAATATGCCACTGTGTATCTGTGCCACAGTTTATCCATTTTCCATAAGGATGTACTTGGGTTGCTTCTATGTTTTAGCTGTTGTGAATAATGCCTGTATGAACATAGGTGTGCAGATATCTTTTTGAGACGCTGCTTTTACTTCACTGGGGCATATGACCAGAGGTGGAATTGCTGAGTCACATGGGAATTGTGTTTTTAATTGTTTGAGGAGCAGCCCCGCTGGTTTCCACAGCGGCTACACCAGTTTACATGCCCAGCAGCCGTGCATGACCTTTCCAGTTTCTCCACATCCTCTCCAATCCTTGTTGCTTTCTGTTTTGTGATAGTAGCATTCCTAATCGGTGTGAGGTGGCATCTCAGGGTAGTTTGGATTTGCACTTCCCAAGTGATTAATGGTGTTGAACATGTGCTTATTGACCATTTGGATATCTTCTTTGGAGAATGTCTGTTCACATTCTTTTTTGCACATTGCAAAATCAGGTTGCTTTTTGTCGTTGAATTTTAGAGTTCTCTGTATATTCTGGATATTCATTCTTTATCAGATAGGATTGGCAAATATTTTTCCCATTTGTGGGTTGCCTTTTTACTCTGTTGAAGCTTTTGATAATTTTAAAAATTTTTCATGAAGTACTCTGTGTCCACTTTTTTCTTTTGTTGCCCATATACATTAGGTGTCATAGCCAAGAAATTATTGCCAAATTCAGTGCCTTGAAGCTTTCCCTCCATGTTTTCTTCTAAGAGTTTTATAATTTTAGGTCCTCATTTTCGGTCTTTGATCCGTTTTGTGTTAATTTTTGCATGTGCTCTTATGTAAGGTTCTAACTTCATTCATTTGCACATGCATAATCCAGTTTTTCTAGCAACATACGTTGAAAAGTGTATTGTTTCTCTGTTGAATGATCTTGCTATCATTGTTAACAATCATTTCACCATATATATGAAGGTTTATTTATGGGCTCTCTATTCTCTTCCTTTGGTCTATATGCCTGTCTTTATGCCAGTACCAAACTATTTTGATTACTGTTACTTTTTATTAAGTTTTGAAATCAGGAAGTGTGAGACCTCTAGCTTTTTTTGTCCTTTCCAAGATTTTTTTTTGTCTGTTTGGGCATCCCTGGAGATTCCATATAAATTTTAGGTATGGATTTTTCTTTTTTCTTTTTTTAAAGATTTTATTTATTTATTTGAGAGATAGAGAGAGCGTGAGAGTGGGGAGGGTCAGAGGGAGAAACAGACTCCCTGCTGAGCAGGGAGCCCGATGCTGGACTCGATCCCAGGACTCCAGGATCATGACCTGAGCCGAAGGCAGTCGCTTAATCAACTGAGCCACCCAGGCGCCCTAGGTGTGGATTTTTCTATTAAACTTTTTTTTTTTCTTAAGAGAGACAGTGAGCAGCAGTTGGGTGGAGAGGGAGAGGGAGAGAGAGAATTGTAAGCAGGCTCCATGCCCAGCACGGAGCCTGATGTGGGGCTCAGTCTCATGACCCTGAGATCATGACCTGAGCTAAAATCAAGAGCTGGACGCTTAACTGACTGAGCCAGCCAGGTGCCCCTGGGCTTTTCTATTAATGCAAAAAAGAGTATCATTGGTTTTTTTTTTTTAATTTATTATTTTTTAAAAGATTGTATTTATTTATTTGACAGAGAGAGAGAGAGAGAGAACACAAGCAGGGGGAGCAGGAGAGGGAGAAGCAAGCTCCCCGCTGAGCAGGGAGCCTGATGCGGGGCTCGATCCCAGGACCCTGGGATCATGACCTGAGCCGAAGGCAGACGCTTAACAACTGAGCCACCCAGGCGCCCCGCTCATTGGGGTTTTGATAGAGATTGTATTGAATCTGTACATCACTTTTGGTAGTATTGACATCTTAACAATATCAACATGGGGTGTGTTTTCCTTTATTTATATCTTCCTTAATTTCTTTTACCAATGTTTTGTAATTTTTATTGTACAAGTCTTTCACATACTTGTTAACTTCTAAGTATTTTATTCTTTTCGATGCTATCATAAATGGAATTGTTTTCATAGTTTCCAGAATTTTTCATTGTTCATTGTTAGTATATAGAAATGGAACTGATTTTTGCAAGTTCATTTTGTATCCTGGTACTTTGCCGAATTCATTTATGAATTTTAACGATTTTTTAATGCAATCTTCAAGGTGTCTACATATTAGATCATATAATCTGCCAATAGAGGTCATTTTACTTCGTCTTTTGCAATTTGAATGCCTTTTATTTCTTTTTTTTTTTTAAGATTTTATTTATTTATTTGACAGAGAGAGACACAGCGAGAGAGGGAACACAAGCAGGGGGAGTGGAGAGGGAGAAGCAGGCTTCCCGCTGAGCAGGGAGCCCGATGTGGGGCTCGATCCCAGGACCCTGGGATCCTGACCTGAGCCGAAGGCAGACGCTTAACGACTGAGCCACCCAGGCGCCCCGCCTTTTATTTCTTTTTATTGCCTAATTGTTCTAGCTAGAACTTCCAGTACTGTGTTGAATAGAGTGGCCAAAGCAGGCATCCTTGCCTTCTACCTGACCTTAGAGGAAAGCTTTCAGTCTTTCACCATTGAGTATAAAGTTCCCTGTGGGTTTTTCATATATGGCTTTTATTAAGTGGAGACAATTTCCTTCTGTTTCTATTTTGTTGAGTGTTGGTTTTTTTTTTTTTTTATCATGAAAGGGTGTTGAATCCTGTCAAATGCTTTTTCCACATCATTTGAGATGATAATGTGTTTTTTTTCCTTTAATGTGCATTGCACTGACTGATTTTCATATGTTGAAACATCCTTGCTTTCCAGGAACAAATATCACATGGTCATGGTATAGGATCCTTTTAATATGCTGCTGAATCCAATTTGCTATTTTTTTCAGGTTTTTTTGTATCAGTGTTCATAAGGGATATTGGTGTGTTATTTTCTTATAGTGTCTTTTCTGGCTTTATATCAGGGTAATGTTGGCCTCAGAGAATGAGTTATGAAGGGTCTCCTCCCCTTCATTTTTTTTTTGAGAAAGTTTTTTTTATGATTTTATTTATTTATTTGAGAGAGAGAGAGCACAAGCAGGGAGAGGGGCATAGGGAGAAGGAGAAGCAGGCTCCCCACTGAGCAGGGAGCCCAACCGCGGGGCTTGATCCCAGGACCCTGAGATCATGACCCGGGCGGAAGGCAGACGCTTAACCAACTAAGCCACCCAGGTGTGCCTTTTTGAAAAGTTTAAGAACAGTTTGTATTAGTTCTTCTCTAAATGTTTGGTAGAATCTGTCAGTGAAGCCATCAGGTCTAGGGCTTTTCTTTGTTGGGAGATTTTTGATTGTTGCTTCAGTCTCTTTACTGGTTATAGGTGTATTCCGATTTTTCTATTTCTTTATGATTTAGTCTTGGTAGATTTTGTGTTTCTGGTAATTTATCCATTTCATCTAGGTTATCCAGTTTGTTCATGTACAGTTGTTCATAGTACTCTTTTTTTTTTTTTTAAAGATTATTTATTTATTTATTTGAGAGAGAGCACATGAGAGGGGAGAGGGTCAGAGGGAGAAGCAGACTCCCTGCCGAGCAGGGAGCCCGATGCGGGACTCGATCCAGGGACTCCAGGATCATGACCTGAGCCGAAGGCAGTGGCTTAACCAACTGAGCCACCCAGGCGCCCTGTTCATAGTACTCTTATAATTCTTTTTATTTATGTAGAATCATTGGTAATACCACCACTTTAATTTTTTTTTTTTAAAGATTTTTTATTTTTTAACAGAGAGAGAGACAGCAAGAGAGGGAACACAAGCAGGGAGAGTGGGAGAGGGAGAAGCAGGCTTCCCGCCGAGCAGGGAGCCCCATGTGGGACTCGATCCCAGGACCCCGGGATCATGACCTGAGCCGAAGGCAGACGCTTAACGACTGAGCCACCCAGGCGCCCCCACCACTTTAATTTTTTTAATTCTTTATTTAAATTCAATGTAGTTAACATACTGTATTAGTTTCAGAGGTAGAATTTAGTGATTTGTCAGTTGCAAATAATACCCAGTGCTCATTCCATCAAGTGCCCTCCTTAATGCCCATCACCCAGTTACCCCATCCCCCCACCCACCTCCCCTCCAGCAGCCCTCAGTTTATTTCCTAGAATTCAGTGTCACTTATGGTTTGCCTCCCTCTCTATTTTCATCTTATTTTATTTTT